GCCCCCTGAGCCACTAACCGTGGGCCTGTGGGGCCCTGTTGACTGAGTTGACTCAGTCAACTCAGCTGACTGGACCGGCCCGTGCGACTGACAGAAGGGGCTCACTGCCCCCTAATTAACGAAATTAATTAAGCTAAATTAGTTAACATAATTAGACACTGATAGGTGGGCCCAGTAGTTTAACTAAATATGTTTAGATTAGTTTTTAACTCTGTTTAACCCATTGTCTATGACGAGCGGGCCCCACTGGTCATTTTGACCAGTCAACCAGTCTGTTGACTGCTGATGTCATCCCCATGCAATGCTGATGTCATAAGTCCATTTCTGTTAATTTAGATAAATCCAGAAAATGATTAAATCTTTTAAAATTCATAGAAAATAAACTGTAACTCGGATGAAAATGTTTTCTACATGAAAGTTGCTCAGAAAAACGAGACGAACCCGAATACGCTACCCACATACCTGTCAGATGCCTCTAACTATATGAACATGAAACTTTCCCCCTCCGGTCATCTGTCTAACATAGGTCCGGAACCGGGAATACCTTCCCGGTTGTATTCCCCCTTCACATGTGTCGTGCAGCACTACGTTAGAAAATGCCTAGCGCTGTGTATTGCCATGTTATGCCTTGTGATGCTTTGTTTGCTCTGTATTTACTGTTTCTCCCCCCTCTTCTCTTCGGTAGACCCTGTGGCGGCTGCCGATGCCGTTGTGATCGACTATGTCACCGACGACCCCTCCTTCTTGTCTGAGCAACCAGGCAAGCAAACCCCCCTTGAGCATTCCGATATCGCCCATTTCTTTCCCTCTCATGCTTGCATTAGAACTGCTATTGCTTTCTGTATGATCCTACTCTGATGCATAGCCTGTTGTTGTTGCCTGCTTTCATACCTTACCTGCTTATCCTAAACTGCTTAGTATAGGTTGGATAGAGATCCATCAGTGACCCCACCTTGTCCTAGTTGCCTCGCTTTATGGTCGATGACTCGATCAACATGATCGACGTCCAGGCCCCGACACTGCACATCACCCCCCTAGTTGTACGACACTACAGAGTTACTATCGAGTGCCGAGGGTGAACCTCATACATCACTCCTGATGAGATCTCTGTAGTGTAGCTATACGGTTGAGGTCATCGAGGGTGATTTCCTCCTTAGCCACTTACATTACGGCTCTGTCGTGCAACCCCTCAAGTGTAAACCTCGAGGGTGGATCCTCTTATGTTCACCTTGATGATAACATCGAGTGGAATTCACCGGGGGTGATTCCTCGGGTTTTCCCCTTGGTGTTAGACACACAGTTACTATGGTTACTATGACTTTACCCTGAGCCATGTTACTAAAGACGGGTCGGCCCTGAGGGGTACCCGCGCGAGCTTAATGGTGAGTGATGTGGAGTCGGGTTGACCTGGAAGGTGCCCGTGAGATACTTATGAGGCGTGGCCGGGCATTCTTAGCCCTTGCCGCAAGTACTCGAGATGGGGCGATGGGGTCACATCGATCGTGAGTCTCTGCTCGTTACCGCGTGCTCCTAATCCACTACGGTTTGGATATTTGATCCGAGGGGCCTCTGGCCTGATAGCACTAACCATCACGAGGGCATTGTATGGGCGTTCTGTGTTGTATGCATCAGCTGAAGCTTAATAAACATCAGCGATTGAGCGGCGCGCGCCGGGTTGGACTGTGTAAGCTCCTGTCTTGTTGAAGGAGGTAGCTAGGTCTGCTCACCGGCCGCCCACGCAACGTGCAGGAGTTCCCGGGGAGATGGCCCATGACCCCTGGGGCATAGGTTTAGTCCGGCGTGCTGGCCTCTCTATTAAGCCTAGGTCGGGTTGCGGCGTATTGTTTGGCCGAGGCCGGGCATGACCCAGCAAAGTGTGTCTGACCGGAGTTAATCGAGCCTGGTGGGTAAGTTGGTGCACCCCTGCAGGGAAGAAAACATCTATCGATAGCCAGTCCTACGATAACGGACACTTGGAGTTGTATCCCGATCGATACAACTAGAACTGGATACTTGTGATGAGAAATGGATTGTGATGAGAAATGGATAGTATGGCTCTGGGATTGCTTTCTCGCAGGGAGTCGAGAAAGGATCTCTGGCCGAGGTTGATAACACTACAACTACTTTATATTATGTTGATCTGTACTCTTCTATATGCTGCAAGATGCTTGAAGATGCTTGAAGATGCTAGTCTTCGATAGGCTAGGCTTTCCCCTTCTTTCTTGCATTCTGCAGTTTAGTCCACAGATACATCCCATTTCCTTTGATACAGATGCATACTTAGTTTAGATCTGATGTAAGTCTTGCGAGTACTTTGGATGAGTACTCACGGTTGCTTTGCTACCTCTTTTCCCCCATACCCGTTTGTTGCGACCAGATGACGGATCCCAGGAGCCAGACAACACCATGGATGACTACTGCTACCCCGAGGGTGCCTACTACTACGTGACGGCAGCTGACGACTTGGAGTAGTTAGGAGGCTCCCAGGCACGAGGCCTTGCCTTTTCGATAGATATTGTTTTTGTGCTAGCCTTCTTAAGGCAAACTTGTTTAACTCATGTCTGTACTCAGATAATGTTGCTTCCGCTGACTCTTGTGTATTCGAGCTTATGTATTCGAGCCCTCGAGGCCCCTGGCCTGTAATATAAAGCTTGTATTATTTTAATTTGTGTCTATAGTTGTGTTGTGATATGTTCCCGTGAGTCCTTGATCTTGATCGTACACATTTGCATGTATGATTAGTGTACGATTGAATCGAGGGCGTCACAATAGACCACCTAGCGGTGACTACAAGAACTAAAGCGAGCCGAATGCGCGCCGCTGTCATCGCCCCTACCTCGTCGAAGCCGGACAAAACTTGTTGTAGTAGATAGTCGGGAAGTCGTCATGTTGAGGCCCCATAGGACCAACGCAGCAGAACAGCAACCTCCGCCAATGAAGAGTACCGTAGATCGGAAGGATCCAACCTGAAGACACACAAACATAGATGGACTATGACCAGATCCGAGCAAATCCACCAAGGACAGGTCTGCCGTAGACACATCTCCACATGCCCAGACACACCACCAGGACTGGGGCTACGCGGGGAGAAGCTTATTCCATCTTCAGGGAGTCGTCGTCGTCTCATCTTCCTAAGTAGGATAGAAACCCTAACAAAACTCAAAGAAACATATGGAAACAGAGCCCTCTCGTCAGCATGGGTCGAGATCCACCACGCCGCCATGACCCTAAGGCCACTGGAGACGAGACAGACTGGCGGCGGCACAGACGGGAGGTAGAGAAACCCTAGTCTTTTTTAGAGAAGGAGGCGGTTGCGTAGGCATATTTTCTTTCTAATGAAGCTTTTAATTACAACAAGTTCACCGAATGATGTAAAAGTTAATGCCTAAAGATGGTTTTAAGGTAGGAGGGAGAAGGTTTTTGGACACCTTTTTTTTGCTATGACAGATGCCTTAAAACTAGTTCATAAATTTTGTAGAGCAATTGAAACATGAGATCCAACGGTGGGAAGCCAGGGAGGCGGATCTGGCGGTCGCCAGGTGCCGAGCTCAATTTTGGCCTGCGGAGGACAAGGAAAGGTGGCGAGGGCGGGGCAAGGGCCGGAGGGGAGCCGTCAGATGCGGCCAAATCCGAGAGCACCACGCCGACTAAGCACCGAGAGATGACAAGGAGCGGCTCGCCGACGATCATTTGAGGGCCGCAGCGGCCACTCATCAATGTCGGTGGGCAGCGGTGGTGCTATTGCGACAATATCGAGGCAGTGGGGGGTGCTATGGTGACAATATCGGGTGGCGACAACCCGGGATCCAGCAGGGTCTCGGCAAACGTCCCAAGTAGCGGGGTTGGGGGTGGTCGACGGAGTCGCGGCGACAGAGAGAACCGGCCGCAATCGGCATGGGGTGACGACAATCGATGGCGGTGTTCCCGCCACGGTGTTTTTGATTTTAGGGCAGCCGCTAGAGGTGCTGCAAATTTGCAGCACTTGTTGCAAATTTAGGGCCGTAATATAAAAGTACACTACGTACATAGAGAACCAGTTTTAGGTGTAGCGCCTGTCAGAGATACTTTGAGATACTAGGGCGAGATCATATTTTCTGCTTGCAGAGCACTATTCTCTTGCAGAGATGCCTTAGGAGCTGAATTATGTGCAATCATGGAAGGTCTATCTTTAGCAGTTCAGAGAACCGAACTTCCCCTTGCTATTGAAATGGATTCAAGTATGGCGGTGTCTATGGTCTCTTGTGACGAAGTAGATCGGTCAATTTATGCCTCCTTGGTGAATGAAATAAGAATGCTATTGCGTCCTAGGCAAACTTGTATTACTCATATTTCTCGTTCTCGGAATAAGGCTAGTGGTAGTTTAGCTAGATTTGTTAGAGTAGAAGGACGGACTATGACTTGCTTAGAGTCCGGTCCTGATGAAGTTTTGGGAATTGTCCTTGATGACTATAATAAAGACATTGTGATTGAGTAATACAAGTATTTCTTCCAAAAAAAAACAAGAAGACGCTCATACTTGCAGTATTTACTCTGGCTGACTGGCACACATTGCTCGAAATCATAATCACAGAGGACAGTGGAGCAATGGTGCCCCGGCGCTGGGGTCCTGGCACGACTCCCTGGAGCCCATGGGCCGGGCCTGGTCATCATTCTGGGTCCTCCAAATGTCTGGAGCCCGGGCCTGGTCATTTTGGGGCCAGTGTCGGGAGCCCGGGCCTAAATGAAGGCGCAGTGGGCCCGTGGCCTCTTTTCGCCATCAATGTGCTAGACTGCCCCGTTCTCCTTCAAATAGCCGCCCCGGCTGCGCTGCCTGCCTACCTCGTTCTCTCTGCTCTCCTCCCACTCACACACTCACCAACACAGTTACACGCAGACGCTTCATCGGCCGAATCACAGGCTAAGGTAAAGCATCAACATATACACGAGCAAGCAAGGAAAGCCAAGCGTTAGCTGTCTCCGATCAGAGCCGGCCGGCCGCAGAGAGAGAGAGAGGGAGGGAGATGTCGAGCCGCCGTGGCAGGATCACCGACGAGGAGATCAACGAGCTCATCTCCAAGCTCCAGGCGCTGGTCCCGGAATCATCCCGCCGCCGCTCCGCGAGCCGGGTACGTACTCACGCGAGCGCGCATTGGTCCTCCTGCGAGTTTTTGCTTGTTCCATGCGTGCGTCCGTGCAGCGCACCGACACTGACAGGCCGGCCGCGACTGTGCATTTCGTCACGGCGGCGCCGCCAAGTCTACCCTGAGAAGGATTAGCACTGTTGTTTTTCTTCCTCGCTGTTCCTGACATGAATGCTATGCTGTGCTGCGCAGTCGTCGGCGTCGAAGCTGCTGAAGGAGACGTGCGGATACATCAAGAGCCTCCACCAGGAGGTCGAGGACCTCTCCGACAGGCTCTCGGAGCTAATGTCGACCTTGGACGAGACCAGCCCCCAGGCCGAGATCATCCGGGGCCTTCTCCGCTAGCCGGATTTTATCCTACCGATCGAGCCAGTAGGCAGTAGCTACATATATATTAGCTTGAATTCATCGGCCGAAGGAGGGAGACGAGGAGGCAAGACAAGAGAAGAGAAGACAACAAGAGAGGCATAGCATTTTTTAGCTGCTGCTTGTTTCTTTTCCTTCCTGCTCCCCCGTCTCCTGGTACGTCGTCGTCCGTGTGCGTGTGTGTCTTTGTGAGGCCCTCATTTAGCTTCCGGTATACTCCACTGTGTTTCATTTATGCACCAGGTTGGTAGAGGTTAATAATATATATGGTGCTTCTACCGATTACCCGAGTGTATTACTACTAGCTTGTAGACGTGTGTGTTTGTGCTGTTGTAGGCCTGTAGCTTCTCTCAGACTGAGATGCATCCTCTAGCTATAGAGCTGTTGTTTTGTACTACTAGTACTATCTATTGCTAGGTTTGTCCCTGTTTTCCAACGGACAAGCTAGCTAGGTTAACGACGAGCGTGGACTACGGAGAACTGTCTGTTTTTGTACTATCTGTTTAATTACTGCTACGTCTTCTCTGCATAACTTACTCTACCACGTACGGTCAAGTTATTTGGAGCAATGTGCAAGTGCCACATAGAAAAGTGAAGAACCTCTCGTGCGTGCTAGGGGCGTACGTGCGCATGTAACGTCGAAATAGTCGGTGCACTTGTAAATGTAAGAAGATACTCCCTCCATTCCACAATGTAGTGCTTCCTCTATCTCCATGTTTTAACTTTGACCGTAAATTTAACTATTAAGACCGATTGCGGCGAGAGCAAAAATTATATCAGTGAATTCGTATTTCAAACAAGTTTTCAATTATATATTTTTTTCTCCCGCCGCAGTTGGTCTCGTTGATTAAATTTATGGTCAAAGTTGGACCTCGAAAAGCGCGGACGCACTATATTTTGGAATGGAGGGAGTATAAAAATGAGCGAGACGTTCCATGATGCAAAAGAGCCCTATTACCGGGTCAACATTTTGGCTTCTCGAGTGAGACTAGCCACAATGGGTAGTAACATAGAGTAGTAACATGCCCATGTTACTAGTCTATGTTACTACTTCTATAGTGGGGAGTAACATATGCGTGATAACATGAAGCACTTCATTTATTAGACTATAGACACATCTTGTCTTGATACGGGTGGGCCCAGCATGTTATAATCGCGCTTAAACGAGTCGAATCGGCCATTTTTCTGACTTGATAGTTTTTAGGCAAAGATTAGAACAAAAGTGGTAGTTTTTCGCACAAATTTGTAAAGTGATAGTTTTTAGGCAAGATTTCATGAATTGTGGTAGTTTTTTGTTAAATACTCGATTATTTTGGTTTATAGAGACGTGTCATGCTCGAAGTGGGTCATACACATACATGTATTACAAATAGAAAACACTTGCATTCCGTCACCTGCGTTTCAAGCGCGTGCACAGTGTGGCCTTTCTTTGTCGGTATCTACATCATCGTCTCCAGTGGAACGGATTGCTCTCGCTTGCACTGTGATGGTGCCCACGGTTTTGCTTTCTCCGATCTCACGGACTGTGCAGGTGTATCCCCGGCTTTTGCTCTCGATCAAAGAGCCTAGTCAAAATCTCTCGGCCTGTGCAGAGCTATAGATAATACTATACTACGCTCCATCTATCTTAGAGCATCATTTGGACATGTCCGATCGGTGTCCAGACAAAAGAGAGAAGAAAATAATGACGCAATCAGGCCCTCATGTCATCTCTATACGTCTGACTGTTCGTAAATCCTCGTACCCAAACTATAGGACGGTTAGTGCCCCACAAGGACGCGGCCTATCCCGGTCCATTATTTCTTTTCTTTTTTTTTCTTTCTCCTTTTTCATCTCTTCGTCAAGCACATGCATATGATCAGACATATAAGAGACAAAATGTGAAGCATGGCCGCATGCACAAATAAATAGAGCCCAAAACATACACGCCTGAACACTAACCGGACACCCGTGGACATTTGAGGGGGCAAATTTGCTACAAGTCCGTCTATAGATGCCTGCCCTTAGTGGGTCGGCGTGACAAATTGCTCGTGCATTCCAAGACCTTGGCCGATACATACAAAACCCACACGCTTAGGAAAATGGCTCACTCACCGCTCAAGAAACCGTGCAGGGAACGGGCACAGCTTTGTTAACCCGAGGCCAGAGTCCAGAGAGACGCATAAACTAGCTGTTAGTTTATGAGTTCCAAAACCCTGGATGGGCCGCCGGTGTTCAGGCTCAGGTTCTGGCTGGTGCGTGGAAAGCAGAGCTGGAGATGCATGCATCCACCCGATGCGTGCGTGCGTGCGCGCCGGTGTGTCTGCAGGAGCAAGGCATGGAAATGGTCTCGGCCTAGGAGCGAGCGATTCGTGGAGGAAACAAACTTTCTGTCTGCGACGTGAAGCCAGCCAGCCCGGCCGGTGCGGTGCGGTGCCCCTGTAACGAGGAGGCGTGTCCAGTCTCAGTCAGTCTCCCCCTAGAAATGTGCCTCACTTGTCTTGTCAGGCCGGTCAACACATCGGCGAGCTGCGAATCACACAAGTCACAGCTGAACCAGTGCTAATCAATTGCTCGATCCACGCGTACGTGCCTCGCTAGTGCTAGTGCGCTGAAGCAAACTGCCCGGTGGCTCGTGCGCATTATACTATGGTCTACGGTAATGGCGTACTACGAGACGTGCACGAGGAACGCATGCCCGTCCGGTGTACTCCTCGCACCGTGCGTGTGTGGTGCGAAATGATCTGATGTGTATCTGCATGCGGAGTCTGTCAGAGACGTGGTGGCACGAGGGATCTGGGAGGTGCGCGGCGCTGCTCGCTATTACTGTTGCAGCTACCGGCGGCCGGCGGTTGGACTGGCAGGTGGTGGCCGGGCGCCGATCGGTTGGTTTCCTGCCCGGCGATCCACTTGCCGGACAGCAGGGGTCCGGCGGTGGTACGGTGCAGGGCCGGCGGGGTCGCTGTCGGCGTACCGTTGGATCCGGCACGGCAGCTGCTCATAAAAGGCGAATCTGTCCCGGCGCGCGTAGGGGCCGGCCAGTCGGTCGGGCGGGCACGCGTTGCTGCCGAATGCTGATGACTGGTGAGGTAGATGGCCCTCACTGACCACCCACACAGATCTCACTTTCGCTGTCCCTGTGCGCCAGTCCGGGCCATGTAGGCGGCACAGCGGCCCGACTGAACCCGTCAGGCCTGCGTGTGTTTTGCGCTGCACGCGAGCGTCAACAATGGCCAGCCACCATCGCCATGGGGCGGGCACGCTCCTGGGCAACAGCCAACAGGTCGTCTCAGGGCATCGCGAGCAAGAACTTTCCAAACGACAGCTTTGTAGACTTGTGCGTCGCGCGTCCGGCCCGGTGTCTTGCATCGGCAGCGCGGGACACCGCAGGACGGCCCGGTCTGTTCACGCGGAGGCGACTCGTCGGCATCGGGAAAGCGACGGAGAAAAGGTGGCTCGGCGGAGGGCGGACGTACGTGGTGGAAGCTGCGCCGCGCGTGCGTACCTGGTGCGGCCGCGGCGGTATGGCGCGCGACGCCTGGGATGCGTCGCGCCATTGACCGAGCTGAGCGGGAGCATGGGCGCGTAGGCGGTGTCGGATCTAGTCTCCCGCGCCGGCGCCGCGGGTGGCCCGCTGTCGCGCCCGGCGAAGGACATGGCCCGGGCGGGAGGGGGCGGACCGGTGCGCGATTGATTGCGCTGCCTCCCGAGATCTGATTAAGGCCCCTGCAGCCGGGCCGGCGAGACGGAGCCCTGGGCGAGGCCCACACGTAGCGGAAGCGCAGGCCCGTATTGGGTATACGCCTAGGTATGCATGCCATGCCATGCCTGATCAACGCGTGTATCCTATTTCTGCGGTGCACCGAAGCTCCAAAAGTGTGTTCCACATCATCACACCTGGCTTTGGCCATTTATTGGGCACACATGTCACCGTACCGCCGATAGATGCGCACGTCTCTGTCTGTACTGCCGTGTAAGTATGCACGTGCCGGGAGTAGTACCGAGCTGGAGCACCAGCTAACTTTTTGTCAAGGTGACGGGGACGGCCGGGGTGGCGGTGGCGACCGTGCTACATTCCTGGGAAAAGGAGGCAATGTCAAGGCGTGTTGCGCTCTTTCCGGGTGAACACTGCGACACAACAAACAAACGCAGTCGTCGTGCGTATTGCAGTCGAACAGTGCGCGGGGAAAAGCTTAGGGCTCCCGAGAACGTCCGACCGACGTGGGGATGATCTCACCGGTGACCATTGGATTACCAAATATGCAATTATAGAAACTGCTTCTCTGAAAATCTGTCATTAAAATGAGAACATGGGTCTGTATAGTGGCTAGTAACTTAAGTGTGGTAATATGCAAAGATTCATTTATTAGGTTATAGACTCATATTACATTGGAACATGTGATGTTACAGTAACTAGCTAAGTTACTACAACTACATCTCTCCTCATTAACTCATTGTCACATAAGCAAATTTGCTGAGTTGGACTCGATGTTACTGCTCAAGTTACTACCACCGTGGCTAGTCTTATCTAGCCTCACCTTACCATTGGAGAGGGCGCCCAGAGATTCGAAATTGTGACCGTCATGTTAAATAGAGCTCACACAGACCAACCAGACAAGCTACACATTGTGGTAATTTACTTCCTTCTTTATTTTTATACTTTCTTCTATTCACGAAAGCTCCCGGTTTTGGGAAGCTTGTGGAAGCTTCCTAGATGTTTTCTTTTTTCCTCTTCTGGACCGGTTGTTCCTTCAGCTTTTTCTTCCTTTTCTTGTTTTTTTTCTTTAATATTTTCCATTTATTTTTTCTGCTTTTTTTCAAAATGAACAAACTTTTTCAAATTCAAGGAACTTTTCTTAAATTTGATGAAAACAATTCGCATTCGATGATCTTTTTCCAAAATCGTTGACTTTTTTTTCAAAATCAATGAAATTCATTTCAAATTCTATGATATTTTTCAGCTTTGATGAAATTTTTTGAGAATCAATAAAACAATCAAA